CCTTCAATGTCGTTGAACACATCCGACGATACTTGAATCTCACTCTTCCTTCTCTCTTAGTTTCTCTGATTTGGTCTTTATTTCATCTATCTTCTTCTCACTTGTTCGGAAAGAAATTCCGATCTCAGACGTCGAAGAGGAAATTTCGTAATTAGGGTTTTTTGTTTGTTTGTTGTTGACGTGATTCTTCAAGTGTGGGTTAATACGATGAAAGCTTCGATTGGGAGGTTAAGGAGATTAACATCGCATAAAGTCGATGCGAAGGAAAAAGGAGAGCTCGTTTCTACGGCACAAATTGACGAACTCGATCGAGCCGGGAAGGTTAATTCGTCTGCTTTCGCTTTTCTGATTTCTGAATTATCGTAGATTGATGTACTCACGGATTCGGGTTTTTCGGAATCATGAGATTTAAGTAGGGTTTATGCTCTTGGTAGTTAGTTTTGAGTTTCTTCATTGTTGGATTGAGTTTATGTGGCTGATTGGCCGGTGAAATGCCAATTCGAACCGGGACTTTGGAACAAGTTTAGAAACACTCGAATTGGTAGTAAATGCGATTAGTTAAGGAAAGTACTTGCTGATTGGTAGTTTCATGAATTACAATAGAAGAAAGACTATTTTGTCACTGAATTTGACTTTAAATGTATTGAACACTATTGTTTTGTGATTCTTAGGATATGCAAGACATGAGAGACTGCTACGATAGACTACTTTCCGCTGCTGCTGCCACCGCAAATAGCGCTTATGGTGAAGAAACATCCAATTTCATATGCAAAAATGCAAAAAAGGTTTCTGATGAACATAATAATAATAATATACTTACGCTTTGGCAATTTCAGAGTTCTCTGAGTCATTGGGAGAGATGGGTTCTTGTTTGGAGCAAATCGCACCTCATAACGACGAAGAAAGCAGTAAGCGATTAAGATTAGCGTATTTATAGATTTCTACTTTCCAATGTATGTAATGTACTGTATTGTAACATTGTTATTTTTTTTTCCTGTAGGTAGAATCTTGTTGATGTTAGGTAAAGTTCAGTTTGAGCTCCAAAGACTTCTTGACACTTATGTAAGTTGTTTGTTGCAAACATGAATTTTCGCAAAAACTCTATTTTACTCTAAAATATCTGACTTGGTCACAGTTTTTGCTCTTCAGCGTAGCCATATATTCCAAACTATTACATGCCCGTCAGAGTCGCTTCTAAAGGACCTCAGAACCGTTGAGGTATACCGTTATTTGCTAATTCTTGTAGTCAAGAAAAGCTTTTCTTTTTACTCATCCTTTTCTCTTTTAAAAATGAGCAGGATATGAAGCAGCAATGCGACGAGAAGAGGTTTGTTATTTTCCACTACTGAAATTTTGTTTTACTTACTGATAAAATCCGCCTTAAACAACTTTTTCTGTAAACTCTTAGAAATGTGTTTGAGATGGCGCTTGTGAAAGATAAAGGAAGACCGAAAAGCAGTAAAGGAGGGAGAAATACACCGCCGGAGTCTCAACCTGCTTACAATGAGTTTCATGACGAAGCAACTATGTGCATTTTCCGACTGAAATCACTTAAAGAAGGACAAGCTCGAAGTCTTCTTACACAAGCAGTCCGCCACCACACTGCTCAGGTAAAGGTTGATTTCCTCTGTGAATTTCATTTATCATGGAAATGTTTCTGACTTTCCTTTCTCTTAATTATTCTAGATGCTTTTGTTCCACACTGGACTGAAATCCCTTGACGCAGTAGAGCAACACGTAAGAGTTGCTGCAGAGAAGCAACACATCGACTGTGATCTCTCTGTTCATGGAAACGAAGTGGAGGCTAG